CGGAATGTGGGGAGTGTCTTTCTCCTTTTCAATTGGGAGTCATAGCCTCTGACTGACTTTTTTGCTGTGGGTCAGTGCTGCTCTCCCCACCTACCCAAAAATGGATTCCCCATCCCTGATTTAAATAGTTGAGATGAATGAGGGAATGATTCTTGCTTCTGCTGTTAGTGAATGGCTAGAAACTGTTTTTTGCAGGGTTTAGCGATGTGGGGAGTGTCTTTCTCCTTTTCAATTGGGAGTCATAGCCTCTGACTGACTTTTTTGCTGTGGGTCAGTGCTGCTCTCCCCACCTACCCAAAAATGGATTCCCCATCCCTGATTTAAATAGTTGAGATGAATGAGGGAATGATTCTTGCTTCTGCTGTTAGTGAATGGCTAGAAACTGTTTTTTGCAGGGTTTAGCGAGCCATTATCACATCTTTATCTTATGAGGTCTTTCTTTTACAATAGGAAAGTATAGAGCTGGATTGCTTGACATTTCCATTTCCATAAGCAGTATTGTGGTGCACAGCTAGATCTAATGAATCTCTTTTGGAGGTATTAAGATATGCAGACAGGAAGGAGTCAAGAGGCTATTCATACTGGCCTGTTTCAGAACCAATCGTATAGCAAAGTCAGGAATTGATACCCGTCACCCATGATGGGTTCACCATCTTTTTTATATGAGGTTGAGGTGGAAGTTGAATTGTCCCTTAGCATTTTTTCCAGCATCAGAGACAACCTGTCCATCAAGTTCCATAACTAGGGTTGCAAGATGGTTTCAACAAAAATATCGGACACACTTGACATTCCAACACAATCTACATTACATCTTAGTTAGAAAATACCAGACATTTATATTTTCTCATTTATATTATCTCAATTTGTTTCCCGAACAGAAAGTTCAAATACTGGACTGTGCGGTTCAAAACCGGACACCTGCCAACCCTATCTGTAACGAAGTGAAAATTTTCAAAATGAACCAAGTCCTTATCTCTCCCTATTGTAATGGTCTCTATAGAGCAGGGGTTGGCAACCTACGGCTCACTAGGAAGCCAGATATGGTATGGCTTTTTTGGAGCTCCAGCTTAGCCTCCCCTAGCGCCCCCTGCAGCAGTGAGCCAGTGCTGGTGCTACAGGCTTATGACCCTCCCCCCAAGAATATTGGAATGCCAGCGCTAGCTTCATGCTGGGGAGAGAACGGGAAGTAAAAAGCCCCAAGCCTCCCTGCTGGATCTGGTGTGCGGGGGACAAGTGGAGACAAAAATGGCTCTGTGCCCTGCCGTTTTCCTTCCCTGCTTCCTGGAGGCTTCCCCTTTGCTCCCACTGGCCAGAATCCAGCAAATGGAAGCAGTAGGAGGCTCTGTTAGACAGTGCCTGCAATGTGTTGTGAAAGCAAGTTAGTGGCTACCTCTTACCCCCCCTGACCAGACCCCTCACTCACCCCCCTGCTGTGACACCACACCCCCAGCCTGCTCCTATCCCCTCCCTTCCTCCTGCCCCTTTCCCCCTGGCCAGGCACCCTGTCCCCTGCTCAGTCATGCAAATGGGCATTCTTACACAGCTCTTTGACCACTTGTTCTGAATCTTGATGTAATTTGGCTCTTTGGTTTGAAAAGGTTGTTGATCCCTGCTGTAGAATCTACCTACAATTTTTGTCTTTGCTGGTCAGGGAACATACCATGATAAAATCACTTGTTTTGCATTTTGGGAGCAGAGGTTTCTGTTAAATGTTTAGTTTGCCCTTAGCAGCAGCCAATCTAGCTATCTTAGGAGAGAGAATAATCCTCCTACCCCTTACTTATTTATTCTGCTAATTAAATACTTAGTTATTTAGCACAAACAAACATGATACCTGTGAAGTGCTCATGCTGAATGTTACCACCAACCAGAAGGGCTGATTTGGCAGGAAGAAAGCATGATACCATAATGTTGTCCACAGGTTTTTGGCTTAACTCTGGGCCTATCTAAAAAATAAATGGTGTTATTAATGATATTCCCATTTTTTAAATTAGATTTGTAAGAGTTTTACATCATTTTTGAAGGGAATGGGGAGTTCATAGCTCTGAGATTCAAATGTTAATCAGTTAAATTAGTAAAACTGTTGGTTGCTCTTTTGACTGAAAATACTGGTATGTCGGACCTCTGCCTGGAAATACTATTTTACTTGTTTTATGTTAGTACCACTTAAAGGATTCCCTCACTTTTGCTTTAGTCTAAAGAATGATACTAACTTTTTTAAAAAACAGAGACTGTAGCACATGTTCTAACTTAAAGGAATTTTCTTCAAATTTCTTCCCCCATGTTCCCTCCTTCCACCCCACCCCAAAGAAAAAAACGTTTAGTCTCAAATCATGAATGGACAATTTTGATCCAAAAAGGGAACATTTGCAAAGAAAATAATGGAGGACATTTTGTAATAACTGAAATGGCTTTCATTGCAGTAATTACACTCACATGTTCCAAATAACTTAATAGAAGGAAACCTCTTGCTGCTAACTTCTGTTACAAGAGAGATATAATGAATGCTCTCTCAGAATGGACTATTGTATAGTTTTTGTTATCAGTGAAAACCTATAACACTGTTTTGTCTCCCTCCATTTAAGAACATCCCATTGTACAATTCTTGTTTTGTTTTTGTACTTTAAAATAGGAACTTATTTTAATGTCATATTAAATGCCCTTTTTCTCCCAATTTCAGTCGATGGATGCAGAAAGTCAACATGGGAGGAGTGATGCAATAAAAGATGTAGAGGTGATATTTTCTATCTTTTTCCAAGGAGCTACTCTCAAGAGGCATTTTTAACCTCTAACTGCAAAACTGCTTGAAGCTGGGAAAATGTGTGCAGTTATATAAGCAGATGTTTTGTGTGCTACCATTCAAAACTCCATGCTTTTTATGGTAACTGTTTTGTATTCCAAGTTTTGAAGATAAAGTCCAAAAAGTAAATCTCACATCAAAATATAGGTTTGATTGGCTTTGATACCCCTGACTGTGGCTATGTCTACACTGCAGAGCTTTTCCAAGGTACCAGAGGTATCCTGTTAAAAGCTATGCCACTTCCAAGGAAAACATCTGCTTTTTCGAAACAGTTCCCGAAAAAGTGGACACGTTTTTTCACTGTCCCTGTTATCCTTTTTGTATGAAGAAAAAGGGATGTGTTGAAAGAGGAGGCTTTTCCAAAATTTGGCCCCAGGGCCAAATTTCAGAAAAGTCTCTTCCGTAAGGAAAGCAGAAAAAGATCTGCAAAGAAAAGTCGGAATTTGCGTTCTAGCCATAGCCTGAGAGACAGAGAAATCTGAAGAATTTCTTTTTGAGTAGGAAAAGGCTGATGCCAGTATTTTCAGAAATAGACTATACTTTAGAATTTCATCTTGGGGAAACGTGGGTTGTGGAGAGTCCTGATTTGGGACGGGTGCAGGAGGATTTTATATTTGGAGGTTGGTCATAATTTGTGTGCTTGTTAGGCCACTTCTGTATGTGTGCCCAGAGCTTTGACTGTTTGCAAATCTTAACACAAATAGTTAACTACAGTACAGTAAGAGATGGTTGTGCTTTAAAATCTAAATTAGAGTGTCTCCCAGCATCTGACAGTATTCTAATGTACACACTGCTGAAGTGGTGGCAGGGATCAGCCCTCCCTGTCAGTACCCTGCCCAACCCCAGGAATCTAATGATCCAACCAACAGATTAAATTTGGTGATTTAATCCTGCTGATGTACCACCTGAGGCATGTTGTGAATACACTAAGACTGCAAAAGCATTCTAGATGGATTAAAAAACAACTTGATTTAAACAAACACTTATTTGTTGTTTTTTTTGGCGGGGGGGTTTAGATTATAGAAACAGATGCTGCCAACAGGTTGGACTCTAATCATGATAGGCTTACAGCACTGAAAGCAGTAACAAATTTTGGAATTCACGTAGAGGAATTTGACTCTGAAGGTGAGTAATCTACTGCAATTAGGAATGCAAATGCTATTTTTTGTGATAAATGCATTTATCACAATCTCAATTCTTTGGTATACAGGCAGTCCCTGGGTTACGTACAAGATAGGGACTGTAGGTTTGTTCTTAAGTTGAATTTGTATGTAAGTCGGAACTGGTACATATTGTAGGGGAAACTCTAGCCAAACATTTCTCCAGAGCTCAGTTTTATTCTCCCACACCTCACTTCCCTCAGCCCTTTATTCTCAAGCTGAAGTGTCTGCTGAGAAAAGCCGCTCCGCGTCTCCCTGGTCTGCTGGGGGAAGCAGCTAGTGATTCTCAAGCTGAGGTGTCTGCTGAGAAAAGCCGCTTCACATCTCCCTGGTCTGCTGGGGGGAAGCAGCTAGTGCGGGGTTGCCTCACTCCGTTTGTAAGTAGGGATTCGATGTAAGTCGGATCCATGTAACCCGGGGACTGCCTGTATTCAGGAACCTTGTATTTTGTATTATCCCATAATTGCTTTGCTGGAGCTTGTGAATGAGCATATGTGTATCCTCCTTTCACTGACACAGGCTTTTCTATCAATCAGAGGCTGAAATCTTCCAGAAGAAACTTGATGAAACAACAAAGTTACTCAGAGAGCTCCAAGATGCTCAAAATGAACGCCTGAGTACAAAACCGCCTCCCAATATGATTTGTCTTTTGGGCCCATCTTACAAAGAAATGCATCTGGGTGTGTATAACTACTTTTAATTTATTTTTATAAAACAGGTTATTTGGAATTTTTATCAGATTATTACAGGTAAAGTCAGTGGTGGGTAACCTGTGGCCCACTGGGGCTCCATTGGTGGCCTGCAGATCCCCATACTTATGATAAGTACCTGGGCACTAATCTAAACTGAAACTGCCTTGAAGCAAGTCTCTTCTCTCTGTTTGAAAATGACTGATGTGTAAAAATAACTGCTTGCTTTGGTTATTGCAATGCATTTAAACCGTTGTACAAGTGTTCTCATTGTTAACTAAGGTCAAATACATAGCTTAATTCTAAAATGCTGCATTAATTTGAAAGACTTTAGCTCTTATGCTTGTGTATTCCCTCTGTCTTTTACCAGTTTCATACAAGTCTTAAGTGGACCAAATTCTCCCTTTTTTGAAGAGAAACAATAGCTCTAGTGCACAGTGAAGATTGAGAACCAATAGCAAAATACCCAGATCCAGAGACCAGTGCCTTGGGTGCTATGTGGGTCACTTGTCATTGATTTCCCAACCAGCAGTTTGCACTGTGATCCTTCTGATATGTAGCACATATATAATATTGAAGCAGCATTACCTTATGCTTTCAATAATCTGCCTGACTTTTGTCCCCTTCTCAAAGGGGCCTTAGTAAGCAGCTGTTTCATCTGCTCTTGCTTTCTCCAGCTCCTTTTCCACCCCCCCCCCCCCCAAACTCTGCTAATGACAATTTTCAAATGGTCAAGGAAAATGCTGCCTTTTCTCTCCCTCTGGTACCTTATGCCTTCAATATACGATTAACGCTCCTCTGCAATGCCAGGAGCCTAGAGTGAATCACCAGCTGTTTTGAACAGCTGGTAGTTCACTTTAGGCATGGCACACCCACAATCAGCGCCTTGAGGCAGGAGAGCATTAAGGCTGTCATGGGCAGGATCAACCAGCTTGGTGGACCAGATCCAGCCTGTGGAGGCTCTCTTGCCCACCCCTACTCTAAATATATGCTATTATAGACATTTATTTAATTTTATGCAAATACAAATTCTCTAAAGCTAAGTACTAATGGCAGTTGTGTGGCTGTAGCTGAAAGGACAGTTCAGCTATTCTGGACAATTTGTAAATACACAAATTAATTTATATTATTGTAACCTTCTAGCGGAGAGAGTGACCAATAATTTAAAAGAACTCGCACAACAAGTGACCCCCGGTGACATTGTGAGCACATATGGAATCCGAAAAGCAATGGGAATTTCAGTTCCTGTACCTGACAATGAGGCCAGTTTTGTAGATTTAGTGGATGGTGAGTATATAGTGTATTTAGACATGTTGTAGTAGAACAAAATTACATCTGCAAGTCATTATAGCATTATTGATAGCAAAGCAGTAGTTAAAACGGGAGTCTCAATTTCTGGTGTGTCTTCCCTCTTTTTAAATATTTTTTTGATGGAAATTTGCCATGGTTGTTCTCAGTCCCAGGGTAACTTTTTTTTGCTTAGAGATTTGGTGTAACCACTTAAATTAGTAGAATGAAAAATGTTTTCCTATACATACATTTTGTAATTTTTGCATTTGCATGACTGACTGAAGATGAAAACAGCACATGTAGAGAAGATTGGTTGACTGCTCCTAAACATTTTTAGTATTATTTTTGCATGTATGCATTGGAATTTTTCCTTTTTTTTTTTTTAATCTTTCTATTTAATGGTGCTCAATTCTGAAGTGCCACCTATTGAAAAGAGTGAAAAGAATATTTAAGCCTGTGGCCTTGGCTCCAGCTCAACGTTGGTGCAGCATAGATGATGTAGTTTAGGTAAATTTACCGCAGTGTCTACTCGACGCCATGCTGCTCTCCCATTGACTTACCTTATTCCTCATTTCAGTGGAGTGGTCAACTAGAGAAGGCTCTGCATTGGATTTAGTGCGTCTTCATTAGCCCCACTAAATTGACCCCCAGTGCATCAGTCACAGCCATGTAGATCCTCAATAAGTGTAGATGTGGCCTCAGTAACATTGTAGTTGGCAACTCAGTCATGAAATCATTAAAGTTTTCTACTGCAACTTACTACCATGTTTGTACTTATGGTATTTTGCATTTATCTTCCTTAAATATATACCTCCCTTTTTTGTGTCCTGGCCTACACAATGTAATATGGATATTGACACTTTAATACAAAGTTTTGACTTTTTTGAATTACCAGATTTCTCCATGTGGCCACTGCATTAAATGCTAGGTTTTCAACTTCATTTAGTATTTTTATATCAGTCTTGTTTAAAAAACCATTTACTACACAAAATAGCAGGATTTAAAAAAAAACAATGAATTGCATAACGTGTTATAGCATACAATATGGTATATTCCATTCCTCTTGCTTATAACAAACTGGTTTTAGTTATATGCTAGTCACTGCATTTCTTGATAATTTTACCTTTAGGCAAATTTTTCAAGCAGTTTAGCATATTTCTGAAATGAAAAACAGACCTAATAGTTACTCAGGCTTCTGAGATCAATACATCTTATAAAATACATTTATGGAACTGTACACTGCAAGAGTAATGTATTGTCTGTTCCCTTAAATGCAAAATTTCTGACTGTTTTCCTGTTAATTGTACCTAGTGTAATTACTAACTCCTTAATACTAATGTGTTCACTGCATAAATGAAGGAAACTGACTGCAGGAGTAGTAAGGGATTTTGATTGAATATATACTACATTAAAGGATGTTTAATAGGCTAATCGACTGACCAAACTGTGTGGAATAACTTTTTTTCAGATTGCCAAGAATCTAAAAAGACTGTCACTCTCAGTGGAAATGAATGTGGTCCAATTGGAATTTGAAACTTCATTTGTTTTAAGTTATATATTTTATTGATCTTATTAAAGAACTAGATTTAAATTCTGTTCAGGATGTATTCATTGAACACATGTACATGGTGAGTTGAAGGTAATATTTCGTCTATTGAACTTTGGAACTCATGTTGAACTAAATCAAAAAGCATGATTTCATGTTAACGTCATTTACTTCTAATACAGCTGGTCCCCAAGTTGCGAACGGTCAACTTACGACCTTTCGCAGTTACGACCGAAGCTGTCGTAAATGGTGGACCCCAAGTTACGAACAGCGCGGTCGTGTGTAACTTTACAGGGTCCGACTTATGAACAAGCCTAAGTTATGTCCAATTGCTTGGTCTGTAACCAGTTCATAAGTCGGGAAGAGGCTGTACATACACATCTAACTGAATTTTGGAGTAACTCAGCGTTGTCTCTTGCTGCATGAATTTTAGTGTTATATTTTGAAAGGCTACGTCTACATTGGCCCCTATTCCGTAATAGGGATGCAAATGTAGCACTTTGGAATAGGCAAATCCGCGGGGGATTTAAATATTTGCATTTACATGGCTGCCGCTTTTTTCCGGCTTGTTGAAAAAACAGAGAAACAAGGCAAAAGCTTGAAAGTAGGAATAAGAGATCCTCTGGAAAAGAGCTTATTTTCCGGAGGATCGCGTCCAGACTGGCGCTTTTCTCTGGCTTATCTACAAGCCGGAAAAAAGCGGCAGCCATGTAAATGCAAATATTTAAATCCCCCGCGGATTTGCCTATTCCAAAGTGCTACATTTGCATCCCTACTACAGAATAGGGGCCAATGTAGACACAGCCAAAATGTTTGGGGGGAGGGAGGGCCGGTTGCAACAAGAGCTAAAGCCTGAAATTATTGTACAGTCTAGAGCACAACACAATGACCTGCTTATACCATTATCCAGAAATATGCCAAAGCAATTTACACTTTTAGATCTAGCCCACTTGAAAACATCAACACTTGAATGCTTATATATATTGATTTTTAGGTGCAAAGGAGAAGTAGATGGTCATTAGTGGAAGATGCTATATTGAGGCTGTATAAATGTTGCCTAGGCATCTTCCATGATTTTGTTGTCTATCACTTTCAGCCAACTGGAGTTTTTATAATGTTGCTACTAACTATTGCAGCTATCAGGACAATCGATTAAAATACCTTTTCAGATGCCATTTATAGAGCCAAATGACAGTCAAAATGGACCACTCTTCTGAGTAAGATAACTTAAGTCACATGGAAAAAATCCTGTCTTGACAAAAGGCTCCATAAAACTTTAAGGACTTGACCACTAGAAGTGTAAATTCCCAAACGCTGGCAATACAAACTCGGCTAAAATATTAACCAAAAAAAATGCCTTCAATTAAGATGGAATAGCTGAGCTGGTGTAGGAGAGAGAATTAAAGTACATACCAATACCAATGTCCCCTGTAAGCTGTGTGCTTCTGCAGCTACCCAGCTGATTTTGCAGAGAGCTCACAGCCAGCAGCATGTGTTTCTACTAGTGGTGCACATCTACACATGACAGTGCACATAAAATTTATTCCATACATGGATGGGAAAAAAATTAGAGGGAACATTGACAAATACTGTTTCAATGGCTGTTATTCTCCATGGATCCTTAGTCACCAAAGCTGGATGAGGATGACTGAGATTTCCCCCTCTTTCCCCCCACTCCGCTGCATAGCTCAGATTAGACATGTCCTACTTCCTTTCCCAAGGCAGATCTGCACTACCACTGAGTATCAAGGTTCCATCCCTTTCACGGTCTCAAGATTTTACCAAGCCCCTTTCTTCCACATTTTCTTTTGAATGTAACAAGGCATCTTTCTCCAGTTTCCATTATCCATAATCCTGCAATAATCCATATTCTACTCCACTTTATTTCTTTATGTATACAATTTCCCCCCTCATCTTTTGTCTTATACATTATGGCTACGTCTACACTAGCAGCTTCTTGTGCAAGCACTCTTTTGCAGAAGAGTTCTTGTGCAAAAACTGTTCCACAAGAGAGTGTCTACACTGGCATGTGGTTTTGCGCAAGAGCATCCATGCCAGTGTAGATGCTCTCTTGCGCAAGAAAGCTCTGATGGCCATTTTAACCATAGAGGCTTCTTGCGCAAGAAATTCATGTTGCCTTTCTACATTGCCCTCTTCTGGAAGAGCTCTTGCGCAAGAGGGCTTATTCTTCGTGAGGAGAGGAATAACTCTTCCGGAGGAAGCCGTGTTTTACAACACTATACTGTAAATTTACTTCTGAAAGAATGCTCATGCAGTTTAGACGGCCAGCAAGTTTTTGCAGAAGAATGGCTATTCTTCCACAAGAAGCTGCCAGAGTAGACATAGCTATGTATCTATCTCAGTTTTTCCAGCAGCCCCTCCACGTCAACAAGTAAATGCTTGAACTTTAGCCAGTCAGCAAGTATGCAGTCTGTGGGGATGGGCTGCATTTGATTAAGTGGTAGGTGATTAAAGTTAAGTGGTTGTGTGAATTGACTTTGGAATGTTCAAGTGTGCCTATTAACAGGTCAAGTGCTTGCTTTGACAGCTCTACCAGCAATACTGCAAAATGCTGAATGACAAGACATGCATTTACTACATGATGTAATTTAAGAGAATTTTTAGATGCTTTAGCCCACTTTAGATAAATTAGGGAAACTACTCTCCAGTTTGCAAAATATCAATCATGAGTTTATGACTGCATATTTTCTAGCGAAGATTTCTATCTTGAACATTTAAGAGTATAATTCTAATCAGGTTTATACTGCATAACCGGTTAATGAAATATGGAAGGAAGAAATGTGAAGGCTCATGTAGGAATGTGCTTTAGATGTTATGTCCCAACAAATAATTAAAGCAAAGCAAGTTTCAGAAAGTTCTTTATTTTTAAGTTTGTTCTCTGTGTGCAATAGATAACTGACTTCATCATTAAATGTTACAATATATAATGAGCTTTAAATTAGATAAATTGGCATTTTGTGTTTAAAGACAATCATTCTTCAATTTTCTAAACTGTTTAAAAACATATAAGTCAATCCAACTACCTTAACAATTCTCCCCTCCCCAGTATCCATGGCTTTACATTCACTTTCTAATGTTTCTGTGAATGGATAATATATATAATAAGGTGAAACTGTAGAATATTTAACTGCACTTTCTATCCTCAAAGTCATACTGCTCTTTGAAATTTAATTAGATAATTTCCCTTTAAAATCCTATAGGGATACAACCAGTAACAGAAAGACACAACCCTACTTCTTCTAGTCCCATATAATTAAGACTCAGCTATGCCCAAGCAGCATGTTACTAGCTTGAAATGGCAATACAAAGTAGTTCAGAATGTTGTTAGACATGGTTTAGTTTCACATCTTAATTGTATCTAAATCTCTAGCGCTACTGTGGACAGCACCATCATTTCAGAATAAGCTCAGTCCATAAGCAAACTTCACAATTCAACACATTGAGGCAGTATGGTCTTTAAGATACTGATCACAGACTGCTGAATTAAACCTAGGCAGCAGTAGTCAAACTTTTTGTAAAAAAATAAAAATAAATATCTTTGAATGCATGCTTAGTTAAATGCCTGCTATCAGAAATAATATAAATGCAATAAGATACTAAAAAAGTATACAAAATGAATTACACTGACCTGTTTATTAGCTAGAAATTTAAGTATTAACTAGTTAATATATTATGAATCTGCTGCCAAAAAGGAAACAGCCAACCTCAAACTAAAGTTATTTAATATACTACTATCTGTAGGAGACTACAGCAAAAGCAGTTTTGACCTACCACCCTCATTAACCGTTTTTAATACACTGATTTGTTCCCATCATGAAACAGGCACTTTCAAAGAAATTACACAGTAATTAGAAAATAGCAATGGTGCATGTAAAAGATTGTTAGAGACAATTTGGAGTTATGTGCCCTTAACTAAAACTGAAATATTGGCAAATGTGAGGCGTAATAAGTCATCCAGTCATAGCACTGTATACTAACAAAATAACACTTAGATTTATTTTAACCACTTCACATTCTAGTCACAATGACTAGTCAATGGAGGAAAAAAAAGTCCTTTCCTGATAAATATTTATACTCAAATATCAGTTATCTTTGTTTTAGAGACACTATCTTCCTCACAAGCAAAATTTTGTGGTATATCTTGACATAATGATGTATAGTAGAAAAAAATTGTTCATTGAAGGGCCATAGCTAAAGCTATTTATACTCACCCGAATAAACTTTAAAGGAAAAAATTTAACATTAAACTAACAGAAGTGGATTAACTATAACTTTTACTAATGCCCCTGATGAATAAACTAAGTGGAGTATCTCTCAGGAGCCTGTTTGATAAAACATTTCCACTATAAAAGTGATTCTCACACATCCTTCTGTACTAATAAATAATAAAATTTGTTAGTTTTGTAAACTGTGTTATCTTTAAAAAGGATCAAGGCTTTAAACAAACCTATCCAGCCGTAAATACGCAAATCACAAAGGCAGTCAGATAAAATTCAGGTTAGTGCTATATCTAAAAACTATCTAAATTGAGCATTCAGAATGTGTGTACCGATGCAGAGTAATAACAAGCGCACAAAATACAAGCTCTTATCACATACATACATATAGGGTACGTCTACACTTGCACCCTCTTTCGAGAGAGGGATGCAAATGAAGACATTCAAAATTGCAAATGAAACGGATTTAAATATCCCATGCTTCATTTGCATATTCACATTATGGCACTATTTTGAAATAGTGCTTTTCAAAATAAGACGCGGTTATTTCGAGGGAAAACGCTTCTCTTGAAATAACCCTTATTCCTCATACAATGAGGTTTACCAGTTATTTTGAGAGAGAGGTTTTCTCTCGAAATAGCTGCATCTCAACAGCGGCTGTCATTTCGAAATAGCGCCATAACGCAGATATGCAAATGAAAGGCGGGATATTTAAATCCCGGCTTCATTTGCAGCGCTCACCAGATGCGTGCTACCGCATGCTGCGCATGCACTGACTGCACTGCGCAGCCGTGCCAGGCTAAAATCTACTCTCCACAGGCAAGTAGATTATGTTAATTATCAAGCCTTATTAATTTGCATCCCTTTCTCAAAAGAGGGTACCAGTGTAGACATACCCATATTGGCTAGTCTGTTTTAAAAATTTGCCCGTGGGCTCAGTGTACTAACAGAAAAAAAACATTTGGTGACCTGTCTTAAAGTTATATATTATAACTATAATAATGTATGTAAAATTCTACCTTGTTCAGAAAAAATGTTTTGCCAAGAATTTCCGTGAAGAAAAACACATACCCCTCTTGTTGTAGGTATTACTACTAAAATGTTAAAGTTTTCTGGTTCTGAAGAGCTAATTAAACAGGAGGTGCCCTTTCTGATAAATAGCTAATTAGTCCAAAACACATACTTGTATATAAATGTACATTAATTTTTAAGAAATATACATCTATACTTTTCTTGTGAAGTAGACACCTCACTAGCAGTAAAATGATGCAAATCAGTTGTATGCTTACTCGACAGAAATAGTGGCCTCAAGTCATATTTGCCTCAAGTTTTTGGGGAACCTTTGCAATATGAAGTTCAGCTTGATTAGTTATTCTTATTTCCAGAGCTGTCCCAAATCTTTTAAGAATGCTAGTGCAAAATGGGTCAAATGAAATAAATGTTGAGGTTATGTATTCCACACAGAACACAACAAGGAAAATTACATTTACTGATAACACTGTCAAACTTATGAAGATCTCAGACATGGGATATGTTTTTAAACAGGCACAGCTCTGAAAACAGAGACATAGGTGATTAGCTTGGAGAAGGGTCCTCAAAGGTCAGTGCCACATTGGTTTAAGTTTGCCTTCAGTCACAAATTAAAAAAATAAATTTAGTCTTGTATTTGCCTGTACCACACTACACAATTTGAGTGGCTGTTTCTTGTCAAGAGAAATGTCCTAGAAGGAGAAGAGCTGCCAGCTGAATTAAGGTGCATTGAAAGATCTGTTAAGCAAAGTTTGCCGCTGCTATCCTGCCTGACAGGCAAATACAGTTCATACTTCATCTTCATAAGCACCAAATCCTGACTAATACATACTAATACATTTAATGCAAAATAACAAGAAAAAAGTTGGGATAGAAATTCAGAAGCAAGTCAACAGATTGAGGGACAGGCCTCATCCAAGCAATTGAAACCAAGCTAGAGAATCTCACAAAACAGTGTAAATACACAAAGTCAAATGGCATGATTGCAATGAATATAATAAATTTCTATGCTACTAACATTCACTGTTTCTCTCCAACGTGCATATATCCCTAAATGGGCTTTTGTTCTCTGGAAATAGTCTGGATTTCTTCAAAGTCAGAAGATCAATTCTGAAGGTCAAAGTGGCTTACTTCCAATACATACTAAAACAGTTGTTTTCATCTCATCTAAGAAATGAAATATGTTTTGTCTCTCGGTATAGGGAAAAGAGAGCAACATAGGTTGTATCCATAACAGAGGTATTTTGAACCAACTTTAGCCAAAATTCATTTCCTGTACAACTGCTGATTAAGAAAAGTTTTTACATGTAAGCTATAGAAGAGGCCTGAGTTTGTGGAAAAGGCATCCAGGGGCAAGGGAATGTGCATTATTGTGCAAATTACTCTTTCCAAAAGGAGCTAGAGTAGAATAACCATGTAATAAACTGTAGTTCATTTGTGCCCTCCCTTATTCAACAATCTTTGGCATGAAAACACCTTTGCCCTAAAGTCCATGCATATGTGAATGGTCCAAATGTCTCTGACACATGCAACACTGCTAGCAGATCTAACAAGCTATGAGGCAGTGGAATTACTGAATCGTAAATATAGAGCTGGAAAAGATCTTAAGAGGTAATAGCATCCAGTTCCCTGCACTAAAGGCAAGACTATGTAATAACTAGATAAATCCTGACAGGTGTTTGTCTAAGCTGTTCTTAAAAACCTCCAAGAACAGAGATTCCACAATCTCCCTAGGCAATTTATTCCAGTGCTTAACTACCCTGACAAGATGTTTTTCCTAATAGCTGTTTTAATAAGGAAATTAGTTAAATAGTACATCTGCAACTATATGTGCTAGCAAGGGCCTTTCATCTCCTTGACTGCATGTAGGAAAGGAAATATTAGAAAATGCTGCAAATAATTTTAGGATTTTTCTGGAATTTATCTCAGAAACAGGCAGTCCAACAGTTGTTTCTAGGCACTTTCAGACGTCTTTTAAAGACTCTTCCCTTGAGATGTGGAGGAATCATCAGTAGTACACATACATTTGAAATAATCTCCTTCACATAAGGAGAAAAATTCTAAGACTTCACAGAAGGGCAGTGTTGGCTCAAAACACATTTTGACAAACTTCGTTACAGACTCAGTTCAATCCAATACCTTGTGACTTGGCTGTATCTGTACACACAAAGTAAGTCCTTAGTTCTCCCTTTCCTTTGACATTAATGAGTCCCCTGCATTCACATGAATATCCCAGTCCCTGTAATATTTTGCTTGTCTCTTCTGTAACCTGAGTGAAACAGAAATAGTGAAATTCTTGTAAAACTCCAGAGAAATTAATTTTGAGTATTTATCAATAAAAATGCTAAAAAGTTTCTAGAAACATCTCATGCCTATCTTTATACCTGAATTCTTCCAAGTTCCCCAGTACTCTCCATTCGGCTAGCAACATTGACCGTGTTGCCCCAGATATCATACTGGGGTTTACGAGCCCCGATCACACCTGCTATTACAGGCCCATGGTTAATCCCTACAGAAATAAAAGTACATGTTATTAGATTTCATATAATTTTGCACTTCAGAATCTCCTTCCATCAGAGGTCCACTGTAGTGTTTTACAACCAGCAGTGACTACAGCCTTGCTGTGTAACCCACATACCTAGTGCAGTTCACTGTCCCATGTAGTGGCCCTTAGAACACTTACAGCAAGAGATAGGAACAAGGGAGCTCTACAGCCTAAGCTGAGAATCAGCTGGTTTTATAGCTCAAGCCGAAGAGGCTCATACACTAAACTCCAGAGGTCCCAGGTTCAAATTTGCCTGGTAGCAGTTACAATTGCACTTTGGTGATAAAGAAGCACAGAAATGAAGTGACTAGCCCAGGGTCAAAGGAAGGTTGTGACAGAGCTGAACACATTCAGCAAAAGTCCACCATTCCTGCACTAGGGAGAACATTAACAGTCTAACATCACTAGAAACTGCCATGTAACAAGCCAACAGCAGCACACTGTCCTCTTATCACCCCTATATCCAGCCAGCAAACACACTATGCTCTCCCTCTCTTCCCCATTAGCAGCTGCTGCATTATTTCCTTTTTCCCCACACCCAGAACCATTCCTGAATATAGCAGGAATATTGGGGTAATGAGACTATACAGCCACATTCAAAGGTTAGATGTGGAACCTCAATGCTTGGCACATTTAAAACCTAGACTAGAGAACGTTCTCTCTCTCACTATTTACATTATGTTTATTACTATAATAACCAAGTGGCTGATCAGTGGCTTGACCATCTTATAATCCTTTTCTAAGTTTTTGCAAAGCTTGTAGCAGTCACAACCGATATGAAAATGAACTTACCAACACGTAAGCGGAAATTGTTAAAGGAATGTCTGTTGATGCCATCCAGTTTACTCATCAAGGCAATTCCATACTCCACCACGATCCCAATTTGAGCATGCTGTCTCTCCTTGTCCTAGGTAATTTGTAATGAATATCAATGTCACATATACTCAGGCAAGATCATGTCAAGCTCTCAGTGTAATGAATGACAACCATCCCTCCCAACAGATGATGGAAGCTCTATGGCAGCTCAGTTATTTTGCGACATGCATTGCAAATGGTCACTGTAGTGCTGTTTTCTGATGAAGTCCAGTACTATGAATTTATTGTGTATCAATTTATAAAGATTGGAGGCCAAATCTATGTCAAGCCCCAGATGAAATAACAGACCACAATCAGAGCTCACGTCAGACAAACGTGCACAGTAATTAAAATGAATATTAAAATAAATTGGTCTGGCTGGCAAAAGGAGAGCATTATTTGCTTGGCATTCATAAACCTTGCTCTTTACATCTCTTTCCAGGCTTTAGTGCCTATTTTAAATTAATACGTAATACTGCACTTGTATATACGGCACATGTATTCTTATGCTTCACACTAACACCCTCCTGGTGATGGGCCTGAAATGAAAAACAGATTTGCAACACCTACTAGCTCCAGGGTGTTTGAAAGCTGGATTTGATTTTTGCTACCTGAGTTTATTATACCCGGTTCTCTGCATAGATAACAATAATAAAGTCAATCTGCCATCAAATCCTGCATCCAAATCAGCAGGGCTCGCCAAGCAGCGGTGAGCCCCGCTCACCAGCTGCACGGTTCTGCGCTCTACGCATGCACAGATCGCTCTGCGCCGGCTCTTCCAGGGTGTAATCTACTCGCCACGGGCGAGTAGATTACATTATCTGTCGAGCCCTGCAAATCAGACATGGCTGAGATTATTAATTATTTGGCATCAACAGGCCCTCAAGCCCTCAGGCTGCCCACAATTTAAACTTTTGTTGTATATTTAGGAACCTTCTGCTCCTGGAGTCAAAGATTCTTGGGAATTTAAAGAAAAATGACACTGGTTTGGGATCTGATGTCTGCTCTTGAGAAACAGAAAGTTAAATGAAAGTTAGTCAAAAGTCACAGCTTCCCAGTGCTCTGAATTTCAGAACAATGTAGATATAGTTGTAAAACAGCAAACTGATTTTAAAGGAAATAAACTGGCACGAACTTCACTGGTCAGGTATTAAAGAGCAATGAATTCTCTGGTGTATTTGTCGTCTGAAGTAGTGAGTTGTGCCCATGAAAGCTCATAATACTATTTATATATTTTTGTTAGTCTCTAAAGTGCTACAGGACCATTGTTGGTTTTTTTAGTTACAGACTAACAACTAACTAACCCCTCTTAGACCTGCTGTACATCGGGCTGCAGTTCCATCAGATATTGCATCTTGGTAATTTTAAACCACAGTATTTGTTTTTGATAACAAATATTGGAATTATAGCTTTAATTTAGAAACATTTCAGAAATGTATTATTTATAATATGTGATACAAAAGATAGCCTCATAATATATATCCCTATCCTCTTCATACCTGAGACTATGACTGCTAATAACTTTCATCTTCCTTTCCATCCCACTGCATGCTGTCACTACACATATACAGATATGGACAATTACAACTCTAAATGTGTTTATACTTCCAAAGGGTATCATACCTGCTTGTTTTCTTGGCCTGGTGCGACACTGAGGCCTGCTGCTGCCATGTAAGTGCTTCCAATGGTTTTGATTTTTTCAACACCACTAAATTTAGGTTTTAACAACAGCTGTTTGGAGGAAACAAACTAAATTATAATTTGAGACCTTAATTCCATATATCCCCATGTATTCTCAACAATGAGCTTATAATACCTACCACATCCATAAGATTTATCTCTAGAAACACTATGTTACTTTATCACAAAAACCTCAATATTTTAAACAACAAAGTGAGGAAGATTTCTTTTGCTGCTGATTTCTTCCACCTACTCCACCACCTTTTTTGGACATATATTATAGAAATGTAGTAAATCCTGCAGCCCAGTAATAAAATCTGTGACAGATCAGTATTTGTATCATGTGGAAAAACACTAAGTCTTGTTTATATTGTACAATTAAAGGAATAGATGATCTAAACTGCAAGAGTACATTAGATGCAAATCATGAAAATTTCACTTTCCAAGACAGTATGGCTGATCCTGGTTCATCTTACAATTTTTTTTTCCACTTTTCATTGTTCTTACACTGAAGCACTGTTCTAGAAAAGCATTTTTATTGTAATCATGTAAATTCAGTGTTTGCCTGGAACTTGAAATACCTCATCAAAATCAGCAATAATTTCATTCAGCAGTCGTAAGCACTCCAGTCCTTCTTTATTGACATCACATTCGGTGTAAAACACCTTAAAATCAGGTATTGATGCAAACATGACACAGACACAGTCATAAGACTGATGGTACCAATCCTGTTGGAAAGCAATAATTTCAGTTACGTTGTAACCCCATAGTGTGTAACCCAGTGGTCTCCAACACTTGTTACACAGTGTATAACAAGATCACTTTTTCAATTTAAGTTCAATGTAAGATGTAACTCAAACCCAAATACCCTTGTCCCACTTCCTTCTCGCCCCTTCTTTGAGGCCCTGCCCCTAGGCCTCACCCTGCTCACTCCATTCCCTTTCCTCCTCTATTCTCACTCACTTTCACCAGGCTGGGGTAGGGGCTTGGGGTACGGGTTCTGGTCTTGGGCCAAAGAGGTGCTCTGGGCTTAGCCCAGGGTGAGGAACTGGGGTGTAGGAGGGGTTTCATGGTGCAAGCTCTGGGAAGGAATTTGGGTGCAGGGGATTCACGCCTGGGGCAGGAGGTGGGTGCAGTAGGAGGTTCAGGGCTGGAAGAGAGTTCAGGATGCAGGCTCTGGCTGGGTACCTTTTAACTGAGATGGCTCCTACGTGGTAAAGCAGTGGGGTTAAGGCAGGCTTATTCCTGCCCTGGCCCTGCACCACCCCTGAAAGCAGCTGGCATGTACAGTAATGGTTCCATGGCACCATGTGCTGCCCCTCATTGACAGGCACTGAGTACACAGCTTCCACTGGCCACGGATCCCCCTTATTAATCAATGGGAGCTGCAGGAGTGGTGTCTGCAGGAAAGGACAGCATGTGGAGACCCCCTGCTCTGCCTCTCAGGGGCTGCTGGGACATGCCAGCCACTTCCAGGAGTAGCAATTACCACAGGGATAATGACGCCAGCCATTACAGGTTAGGATTTGAAAACTCACTACTCAAAGAACTAAATTTAAGCATAAGAGAGAAATGAAAATGATGAAATGCACAGACCAGTCAAAAACCCAGAAATAACCCACTCTGCAAGCAGTAAAAGAAGTAACAACAATCCCCCACGTATGTGTTGGATCGGGAGCTGAGCGTGAAGGACAGTGTATTTGTGAGAATGACAGACGCACGCACAATGTGTGAGAGGGACAGAGATTTGCATTGCCAAGCTCCCTCCAACCCCTTCACTCTGTGTGGTGATATGGTACAGGAGTGGGGGGAGGGGAGACACCCTGACATCAGCACCCATTTCCCCTTCTCCCTCTTACACCCTGCCCAACAAGCAGGAGGTTCCCAGGGGGTGCTGCAAGGCAGAGGGCAGGAGCAGCATGACAGCGGGTGGAGGGGCATCTGTAGTGACAGCGCTTCATAGCTTCCCAGCCAAACCAGTCAGGATCACCAGTAGATCCTGATCTGGTTGGTTACCACAAGTGTAACCAAAATTGCATTAATCTTTTAGTACATTTAAAAAACAACTATGACTAGAAGTGAACCCAACTCAGCCACTGGAACTCAGCAACATTAGCAAGAGGACCATACTTTCCTATTTTTATTTAGTAAGGATTTTAAGTGCTGAGAATGAAACCCAAGAAGATGCCCCCCCACTGCGTTCTGCACAGTGATTTCTCTCTCTGCTCCAATAGGCCCCATCCTCCCAGCTCAGCCAATCCAGAGACTCACTACGGAGCAATGCTTGCTCTGTTTAAGGTGTTGGCAGAGTGAGTTGCAGGGTGTAAGAAGAGTTGCCATCAATGCCCTGTTATCACCTGTCATCAGGGAGCTGCTAAGCAAGTGCTGCCTGCCCCTCAGCTGGCTCCCTATAAAAATTAAAAGGATCAGCTGTCAAACGCGGTCTCTGGAGAGGTGAATCCCAGCATCACTTCTTAACTAATGATCAGTGCCATAGCCAATGATCATCTCTGATGTGGATTTCCATGCCCCACTTCTTCCAGTGATAAAAGCAAGCATTCATTTAAACTGAAGTCCTCTTAATGCCATGGGGTAGCAGCTCGTTGCATGTGGGAATCTTGTATCATGGGCCAAGAAAAGGGAGGAACAGAGGAAGTAAGCAGTAGCATGGAACCCATTCATGGGCGGCCAGGTGGCATTCTCCCAGGAATCTGATTTATCATCCTTCCTACTATTAGAGTAAATTAAATATACCTCATTTAATTTGTCACCAATGAAATGAGCAGCAACATGTGCTGGAAGAACATTTTCTAGCAAGAGCCTGTTTACGTTCTCCATGGTTTCAAATTGTTCATGTTCTTTTTTAAATTTATTCTTCCACAGGCAATCTAATCGACAGTAATACTCAATCTGCAAACAAAAATTCATGCAGTAAAATAAACCCATGTAGCTCTGAGATAAGAGTTTAGAGGTTTCAAATCAGGTGAAAAGGGGCGCAATGACAGCCAAGCTTTGTCAAGTCACTTAGGACCCAAATGGCCACTGAAATTGCGACTGCAAAAATTGCAGAAGCACTTGTTTTTGAAAACAGAACATATACAGACACATGCAATTCAACTGGCATCAGATGAATGCTAGTTTAATTTGCACATGTAAAGCACATTTGTATTGTTAATGTAATCATTATGAATGAATTTAATACTTATACTTTAGTTTAATAATTAAATTTGCTTTGAATAATGCACAGACACAAACAACTCTGCCAGAAGGGTGGAAGGTGATTTATAAATACAATTGAAAGTGGCTAGATTATGTAGATTCTAGGTGCCCACTTTTGTGACTGCAACATCAAAAGCCACTTTCAAAAGTTTTAGAGTTAGAATCCAAAATATTCCTGAAATGTGTAGAAATCTTACCCTCCTTTCCCAAACACTATACAAATGATTTTTTGGTGACTAGGACCAACTACCAGAGATAGAAAACAGGTAAATTTTATTTAACAACTATCACCAAGTGAAAAGGACTGAGGTTTTTATTTTTATCCATACCTGTCTTGAAAATAGTATCAGAGTTACGTAAAACAAAGCCAGGTATAAGTTAGTCATCACTACTGGATCTTTGATGAAAAGCCTAGAATACAGAAAATCAACATACAATTGTCACTGTGAATATTTTGGAACCATTGGGTGTTTAAAAACAGAATCTTCTTGCATTCTGAAATACTCTGTCACAGAAATAACACAGTCCCCCAGTGTTAACATAGTCCCTTTGCTTATGGGTCCTGTCTTCATAGCAGTTTCCTGCATCTTAGGGATATAAGCGAGTAGTCGACATTTCAAAACCTACTGGGTAGTCAAATGGAGTTGCTTCATCTGCTCCCCTCTTCCATCCGCTCCTCTTCTTCTCTGTATGAGAGGCAGCAAAGGGAGGAGGGGAGGACAGCAGCCAGTGCAGGAAGGAGCCAGCTTAAAATCTGATTCCCCCCAGCACTATCTCCACAGTGCTGCCTGCTCCCCCTCCCTGATGCTGGCGGGAGGGGGGGGGGCGAATAATAGGGGAGGATGCTGCCTCCAAGCAACCCCTGTTCACAGCATCCCCAGCTAGCCACAGGTGGGGACTGCTCTGGGACTGAGGCGGCTCTTACTACATTTAAAATGCAGAGCTGCAGCGGTCCAGAGTTGGCGTGAGCTGGGTCTGCTCTGTCCCAGTTCCAGCTGGCTCCTACTGCGGCTCTGCAGAGGGCCCCCTTATCAACTATTCATGTAGTTGATACAAATTGTATTGACCACACAATTAGCCAGGGATTTTTTCAATTATATTGAGCTAACACATTTGAAAAGCTCAGCAAGACATAACCACAGAGGTTTAAAGCAGGAAACAGCTTCCTTGCTTGTGATGGGCAAAGGTACTAAGAACTTGTCTGGAAACTGCACCTGAAATAAATAAATTTGCTGTAGGTATTTCAGTGCAAGTCTGAGTGGACACACTTATTTTGGAATACAAGTATTCCATTTCACACTTCCAATCCACTCATCAACTCACACTAAAATAACTAAAAGTGAGAATTACAACTGAGTTATTTTGGTTCCAGTTTCTGTGTCAGATGAACCAGAAGTCTCAGCACACTAAAGTTGTCTTTTGCCTAGCAGATTATATCCAGAAAATTTGCAAATGGCTATATCAAGCTTCCCACATGGTAAATGCGAATTATTTTACTGTCTAAACCAAACATGTATCTGGAATCAAGAAGGTAAATGAATAACTGTGGTGCTTAAAAGTGGTATGATTAGTATTGCATTGGCAAATATGCATTCTCCACAAATACGCATCCCCATAAGCTCCCTTAAAATTATCAACTATAACATGAATATAAATACCATACCATTTTGTAAAGATTTAATGTACGAGGTAGACAAAGTGTCTTAGACTTT